TGTAGAGTCGACCTAAACACAGTAATATCCAGTGGAAATTCTCTTTTACAGAAGGGATGACTTGAAGAATTTCGTATTTTGAAGATTTCAATTCGACATTTGTGCCATGGATAGAAGGCATGGGGAGGGAGTTAAGACTTGGCAGAGGAAAACAAGTGAAAAATTAAATAAATGATAAATGGCATGTTTGTGATGACAAGGGCAGCAGATAGGCAGTGAAAGGAAAAGTGATTGCTGTAGCTGGAGAGAGCTGTACAGTGTATGAAACATGTGAACAAAATTGGCAGAGGTTGAGTCAAAAGTGAGAGCTTGACCTTTCCCTTCTCAACAACAACCATTAACCATTCAGCGTCGGAATTGACCCGTTTCTGGCTCGTGCCATCTCCCCTGACAACATTAAATGACATCTCTCTCTCTCTCTCTCTCTCTCTCTCTCTCTCTCTCTCTCTCTCTCTCTCTCTACGCTATTACTGTAAGCTTTTCTCCTCTCCTTCAAGAGGCTATAGCCTTTCAAACTACCATTCTATCTATACCTTTCTGTCTCACTCCTCATCCCTCTCCTCTCCGTTAACTTTCTTGAGCCTGTAACACCAAAATTCTTACAACCTCTTCACTCTTTCTTTCAGGGTGTTGCTTCTTCCTCTTCTTTCCACCCTCTGACTGGAAAACAACTGAGAAGTGTTGGCTGTGGTTAAGAGGTGAAAAAATTGTCACAACCCGACACTCTGATCTTCGCCCTTTGGCCAAATGCTGACAAATTCTCTGTGGAAAATATGTTTTTTTCCCCCCTTCTGTACCATCACTCCAAGAAGCATTCAGCGTTCTTTTGGAGGTGCTTTAATAAACTGGAGACAAACGCATGTATCCTCAGCATCTTGCATGCCATGCCTTGCTCATCTTTGTGCCTCTGTCAAGTTCAAGGTTAGCTGCTCATTGTATTGAGCGCCAATTGCTCCCCCATCGGGACAGACAGAGGGGAGATGCATTAGCACCTCGGCAGGTGGCCTTCAATCTCATCTCTTCCCTGTCTTCACACCTCCCTCTCGTCCCCTAGTCCACCTCTCCATCCAAGGCCCCATGGAGGTACCTGGTCAGCCTTTGTCCAGCAGTGAATAGTGTGTGGTTCACTGGTGCATGCGTGCTTATTTCGATACATGCAATCGTGTGCAGCGTGCGAGTATCATGCATATGTGTCCGCACAGATGTGTACCTCTCATGCTTATGTGTAGCCTGACCAAATGACCATGAAGTAAACCGAAGCCTGCAGGGGGTTAAGGCTTTCCCCTTGACCTGCTGCTGAGCACTGACCTGCAGTTAATGGGTTTAAACCTTACCCAGCCACAGCCTTTTATCTCTATCACATCTCCATCTCCTGAAAGCCACAGACCAACGCACACACAAACTGACCGACAGGCAGGCTGACAGAAGCCATATGGTCCATTCACTTCCAATGGCAGGAGGTAGTCATCAAAGAACTCTCACAGCAACTCCACTCAGCCATGGACAGATAGACGGAGGGAGGGAGGGAGATGAAGGGGAAAGGAAGGGAGGGAAATTATGAGGAGGGGGCAAACCAAAGTGGAGAAGGAAGCAAAGAAATAGAAAAAGAGGAGAAAGAGGTGGGAAGTGTGGTGAAGAGAAGAGAGGAAGAGACATTCTATCAATTCAAACGAGCCAGAAGGGAGGTGGAAAGAAAGAGTGAGGAAAAGGCATGGAGGTGTACAGACCATATAAGCTCTGTGTGATGTGAGGTTTTAAGCCTTGTGTGAGACAGTAAAGGCCAAGCATGGCAGTAGCTGTGGGTATGTACAGAATACTACTGATTCGACAGCACTGTCTGTTTTATGCTGACAGAGGGTGTTATGAAATTCAGCTTAGACTGTGTCATTCTCTACTTTACACAACACAGCCACTCAGCATCAGAGACATCTAAAGCAAGGGCTATTTATGTGTGTGTGAGGACAAACTGAAAATTGGTAGACTATGAGAGCAGAGTGAGGAAATGTTGTCTTTATTTCTTCAAAGGACTGTTTGAGAGTAAAGACTTGCTTTAAAAAAAAAAGCATTGGTGAGAGTTCAATATGAAAAGATCTTTTCTCTGATGTTTTGCCTTTAGTTCTCTATTGGTGAATTTCCGTGTTCTCTTCCTGGGCCTACCTTTCTTTCCAGTCATTTTGGCCGTCCCGCGCCCACAGGAACATCATTCTGCTCATCTTTCAGATCAACTATACAATCCTTTACAACTTCATGGGCCTACATTACATTAAGATACTCAATTTAATTCAAGTTAATGGCCTAATCGCCAAAGTCTCAATCTGATGCTATCTCGTATATCGTTCGACAGCTCAAGCTGATCTGTAGTTTAGGTTGAAGTTAAGGTTAAGCATGTAGTTGTGGTAGTTAGGGTTAGCTTTAGGGGCTGGAGAACGGATTATGTTAATGTCCTCATCAGTATAGAAGTATAATCATGTCTGTAGTCTGGTCCACAGGCCTCACGTTATACTAGCTAAATTTTACTCTCACCCCCATTACATAAGGCAATTTCACAAGCAAATTTAATTTAATTCACTCAGCTTCCTGTTCAGCTCAACTTCATGATGTCATAAACGTGAGCCTGTAAACACTAACATTTAACTCAATACAAACACCATTGCATTAAAGTCCATCCACTCTCTTTTACCGTAATGCTTATATTTATTTAGGGTGACGTGTTCGCCACAGGATCATAAATAACACAGAAAAAAAACAGAAAGAGTGGAATAGAGTGAGTGAGAGAAGAAGTGAGAGAAAGGAGGAGGAGGGGGCTTGAGGGACAGAACAAGTAAGGTGGAGGAGTGTATATAAATCAACATCCATTAGCTGCGGGGTTATAAAGTCACTGATGAAGGAGGTGGACTGAAGCTCAGACCTTTTATTGTCTTGTTGTTGTCTTTTATTGCCTGTGATGTCATCTAATGGTATACAGTTAACGACGGGGGAGGGGAAGTATGTACAAGGGAGGGGAGGATTGGGTTGTAATGGGGCTGTGTGTGCATGTGTGTACCTTTGTTGACTCAGGATATTGATCACTTTTTGTCAAAGACGGTATGTGTTTGTGGGGTTTCTTTGCCTGAATATATCATTTGTGCACAACCTGATCTTCATTCATGTTGACTTTGAATGAGAACAATGCCAAAATCCAGCAAACACAATTCTCTCAAGTGCCAATATGCTGTTTGCTGAGGGATGTCTGGAGAAAGGCCAAGGGGAAGAAGAAGAAAAGCACAAAAGAAAAAAAAATGTTTCAAACATCCTGAAGCAAAAACAATATTCAGAAAACCCTGAAAACAACTTGAAATGCTTTTAAAACTCAAAGCCACTAAATTCTCCCTCCCTAACTGGCACTCATCATCACAGCTGAGCAGTAGGTATTAAATATGATTACATATTTCCCCTGTTTGAAGCATCTGCCTACATGTTGGTTATTGTCTTACAACATGGAAAACCGCTGCCTCAACCACTTTGCTCCTGTGCAGAACAAAAACAACAAACACAGGCAGGGGCCCATAATCAACAAAAACAAAAAATAAATAAATAAAAACCGGCACTCCAGGCTGCCTGTGTATAGAGTAGTAGAAAAACACCTCTTGACATTGGGTGCTTATTCTGGCCTCAATCGCATCTTTGCTTAACTTTCTCCTCTCTGTCTTCGTGTTTTGCATCCCTCCAACCATCCACATACAAAGAACCAGTCTTCCGCCTTTAAAAACATGAATTTCAGGAATATAGTCCATCTCTGTCCAATCTCTGTCATCCAGCTCAACCTTCCTCTCATTTCCTCACTCACTCCATCCTTCTCTCTTTCCTTCCCTCTGTGGTAATGCTGTTTTCCCAGGCCTGTGAGGCTCACTCGCCTAGCCGCCCCACAATTGGTCTCAGTCATGGCCCTGTGCTATACGTGTGTGTAAGTATGAGAAAGCAGGAGAAAAAGCACAGGAGCTACGACCCTTCTATCATACCTAGCAGCAGTGCATCATCCCATTAGCCCAGAAAAGGGCTGCCACACGGGGGAGGGCACAGGGGCATGAGGAAAGTCTAAGGTGGAAGCCACAACACGCCAAAACCCAGCTTATCCAGTGCTGTTCAACTCTGAGGGGACAAATCTTGTTTAGCCAAGGCCTTTGCTGTCACACAGAATTTGACATGTTTTTCAAGGGATAGATATTTATGGTCAAAGACGTTCACTATGGGTGACACTCCCAGCTGCAAAAAGAATTCCACAGGTTTACGGGAATGTCAAAGCCATTAGAGCCCACTTACTAATACACTAAGAATGTAATAATCTAGAAGCTAAGTAGCTAAGTAAATATGTTAATAAATGATGTATTTAATGCTATTCGGATTCCTCAATTTGCCTCGAGAAACTGATAAGAAACTTTGTCTAATCGATTCTGCAACATGCTGATCTGTGCTGTCTAGCAAGTTCTGTAACATGCTGATGTGAGCTACAATCCGCCCCCAGGGCTCTGGATTTTCTACAAGTCCAAAGTGAAGGAAAAGTACAGCGGATACTCCTGATACTGGGTGTATACAAGTGTATGTGTGATATATGGTGCAGTGGATGAGGAGGATGTTGAGAGATACCAGATAGGCTTTGCTCTAGAAATAAAACCCCCTCAGGGGTTCTCCTGATCCCCCCCCTTCCTCAAAACACACACACACACACACACACACACACACACACACACACACACACACACACACTCTCTCCACAGTGAAGTATACACAGTTCCACTATCCCTATCTTTCATGCACACTCACACCTCTTCCTGCTGCAAATACAGCCGACTCAGCTTATTTGCCTGAAAGTCAATCTGCCTTACTACTACTACTATCCTTCCTCCAATCCAGCAGTCCCCAATTCCCAGCTCTTACTCCACATTCTAAAAGAGAGAAACCAAATCTCTCTTCATCAATTCAGCCATCCCTGCTACCCTTCATCCAATATTCCTGCTCCTTACCTTCTTAACTCGTCCGCTTTTTGTGCCCACGAAGACCAGCGAGTGGTTCTTGTAGACGTAGGCAATGACAGAGGTCATTTTGTCAACAGCATCGGAGAAGAGAGGCTTGCCACGCACCATCTCAGACACGCCCAATGGCGCATTCATGTCGAGGCCACAGAAGTCGTCGTCAATGGTCAAGAGCTGCAGCAGAGGAAGGAGAAGAGATTAGTACAATACTAGAAGTAGAACTGTTTCTGATTACAGATTAGGGCATTGCTTAGGCTGACACATGAATTCTTGCTTTTGGATATAGCTATATGCCACAGTCCGGTAGCAGTATTGTGTATGGTTAACACAACTTACCTGATAAACAGCAAAAAAAACAAGCTCAAGATTAATGAAAATATGAATCAATATTTTGTGTTTGAGTGTATTTTTATAAAGGGATAGATATGGATAGAGACAGGGCAGAAACACTTTGTGAGAGAAAGAGTATTTATATGCTTGTGTGCGTCTGCTGGTCCACATGCAATAAACGGCAAATGTGGGAACAAGTAAGAGAGAGATGAAGATGGAAGAAGACTGCAGTCAGGCGCTAGCTCTGTAATAGCGCCAGAGGCTGCTCTGTCAGGCACAATTCCCCACCGTCCACCCCATGCAACAGCAACTGCAGAAATGCCAGTGCGGCAAGATATTCAATGTGAAATGATTCAAAGTGAACCGAGTGAAATAAAAAATAAATAAAAAAAGTGCTGCATAGTCACACTGAGGCAAATCACTGCAATGCATATAAAAATGGTATTAGAGTTGGGAGACTAATACAACTCCTGATGGAGGTTCATCTGTTATGCTTTCTGTGTGGACATGCTGCTGTGATTTTTGATTAAATACAGATGTGAGTGTTTCATGTTTTGTACCTCTCTGCATTTTGTGTTTGCATGCATGTATTTTATCCTGCCGGGCAGATATTCATACCAGTCACTGTGGGCAGAATGACTTATGGGTTTTGATAAGAGAATAATGGTGCTGTGGATGGTCATTATTCTGTGTGTATAGATGGATTTGAAACACTGGGTTTAGGACTGAAGCAGGCATCGCTCTTGATTAATAGCTTAGCAATGTGGAGGGCTGCTGTAGGGGGAAATGCCTGTGCAGTAGACACTGCCTTTACTTTCTTAGAAAATGCATAGAAAACGTCAGTAGTAAGATGAGATAGTGTGAGTTATGAAATACTAATGTTACAGTTATGACTTGATAAAAAGCAATTGGCTTATTGACTGATTTCGATGTTCAAATGAAGCCCTTTAAATACATGAACAGCACTGGTCTGATATGAATGATTGGACACACACCGTTTCATACTAGCTAATTATAAGCAATTTTAAGCTGGAAACTAACCTGGGCTTTACACTGGAATCTCTTACTATGGAACCAAAAAGTCTGAGCTTCAGAAGAAAAAGGTGAACATGCACCGATAAGATCTCTGCTTAAAACCTATCGAACCATTTCAAATCTAGACTTGCCTAGTGGTTTGAGCTGTCAGAGGTGGGATGCTCTGGGGGGCAGAGGGTCTTTTAGTTTATGTCTTATTTTCCATTTTTCCCCCTCCTGGAAGTGCACCCCCTGGGCTCTCGATCAATCTCGCAAGCACCAAGTGTCTCCTCACAACCTTTCACTAAAGACCATCATCATCAGAAGCCTTAGACTGAGCCACAGAGGAAATATGAGGTCTGCTTTCATTAGACAAATGGAACATGGCTGGTCTAGGCCACAATGAGCTTTAGGCTATAACATGGGAGTTATATGAAGCGGTGATCGATAGAGATGACCTGAATTTGGGTCAAGATCGTGTCATATGGTTAGAGGGTTGAAATGAGGACGAAAAGGAGTCATGCAAAGACAGATGGAGGAAGGAGAAATGATAGATAACAATGAGACCGAGATGCCAAAGAGAGTAAACAAAAGAGGAATATTTGTGCACAACAAAAACATATTAAAGTGGACAATTTTTCCTCCAATTCCCCATCTTCTCCTTTCCTCCCTCTGCCCCTCCCTCCCACCCCGACCTTTTCAGAAGGAGCTGTTGTCAAGAATGCGCTCTCTGTCCTACAAGTCGTGTGGTGGCTCTCCGCTAGATTAATGGTGCTCTGATAAGAGTCAGGGTCACTCTATGAAATCACAGTGAAATATTACTCTGCTTTCTCAATGTTACTCTACCTTCCTTTCTGAGACAACCATTTATAATCAACACAATTCCTCTTCCGTTCTGTAATGACATACCAAAACTGATCTCAACCAGTGTCCACTTAATGCATGTTTTCTCCAGTCAACGGTAAAGCTGTTTTTTTTCTCCTTGCTTTTGAAACAAAGAAAAACCCTCTCTGTGTTGCAATCAGTTATAAAAAGAGCCTAATCATCCCAGGGTTCAAAGGTTAACAGGGTCAATCACAAGGAAAATTGAGTACTTTGGAGTATTTGGGGCCTTGATGATTGAATGTCACCTCAAAAGATAAAAAGGTGCAGCCATTTCTCCCAAGATTGATCACTTTCCCAAAAAAGTAAAAGTGGTTTTCATCATTAAAAAATCAATTCACATTATCTGTCGGTTTCTGTTAACACGTTTGTGGGTCTGTGGAAGTGAGGGGTGATGCATGTGTAAGAAGAGGAGGGTTTCAAATGTGTACGTGTGTGTGTGTGTACGTGTGTGTGTGTGTGTGTGTGTGTGTGTGTGTGTGTGTGTGTGTGTGTGTGTGTGTGTGTGTGTGCTTTCATTTCTTGTCACTGACACATGCTATATTATTTCTGCTGGTTGCCAATCACTGTCACCATCTCTGTCCCGCATTCTGCAATCTAATGAAATATACTTTCTGTCTGTCAACCCTTTCAGGAAGCAGACACATTTTCATTACGCCACCACCAAAACATGACATTTGTAGTTGTGATGCCAAAGACGTCTCTAGTCAGAAGACCAAATAATAAACCCCTTTGACACTGTCTGCCAATAAGACACTGCTGTCACTGCTTCTATCACATTTTGTGCCCCCTTTTCTTTCTCGCAACCCATCTCATTAATGCATTTTCAAACTCAGAGGGTTACCATTTGTTGTTTCTCTTTCCATCGACCCATCTGTCTCAACTTCCATTGGCCAGTGCTTCAGAAGTTGTCCAAGCATTGGCAAACACTGACTACAGGTAGACCTTGAGGAAGATTTTTCATCTTCTTTTCTCTCCGTCTTTCAATTTCCAAGAATTTTATTCATGAGACAATTGTATGCACAGCTTTGATTTGATTAACCTCTGCACAGACACAAATTATGAACCATTGTCGGGCTCCAAACAATGTTCTAAGATTTTAGCAATTAAGAACGAAATTTACAAGTGGAGCCAACTGCTCACGCAAATAGATTAATTGTATACCACATAGGATTGCTATCCTTTAAGAGGTACAGTGTGTAATATTTAGGATGATCTATTGGCAGAAATGGAATATAATATTCATAGGTATATTTTATCACCTGAAAATATGCTGTATTCAGTTGGTTGCAATCTGCAACTTCACCGCTAAATGCCAGTGATTCCTACACATGGGTCTTAAATAAGATTATTTGGATTATTATTTTACCTCCTGACTATTATTTTTCCCTCATTAAATTTAAGCGGAAAAGCAAAGAAAACAATGAATGATGCACACTGCCTGCAAACTCCTCCATCCCGTAGATATACGATTTAAATAAATGATTACTGATATGGATACCATTTGTTGCATCTGAACATTTGAGCACAATTAGAACAACTACTAGATTTAACATTGACAAACAACTTAAATGACTCTACAAACTCTATTCTTGCTCAGGTCTGGTAGGTATTTGAGCCAGCGGCCTGCAGTGTAGCAACAGAGGAGAAAGACTGGGGTTCCTCCCTAAAGACAGAGGGACAGGAGAGCAGAGTCTCTGTATTTGGACAGAGGCCAGGCACTGAGGCAGAATCAGGTCACTCTCAGCCATATCCATCTCTCTGCTTCTGTTTGCCTGCCAGCACCGGCACAAAGAGAGCTCTCTTCTGGACTGTGCAGAGGGATCAGCAGATACAGACTGGAGAGAAAGAGAGGGGGCAGTGGGCGCACGCGAAAGAGAGAGAGAGTTGCTCAATGCGATTAGTGGGGACTGAAAGAGATCCGCTCTCCAACGCTCTCTGATGTATGGCCTAATCTGGGCTTGCAGTGTTGTGAGGGGCCTGTTCCATTGGCTGCAAGTTCACAAAGTTAATGACACACATTAAGCTACAAAGACATTTCACTTCATGTTACTGCTTAACCGTTGGAGGCTCCAAAGAGTCCATTTTCCAGCACTTCCAGCTATTCCTTTTAAATGCAGTTATTATACTCCATGTTGCGGTTTCAGTGACTTTCTTCCCCAATCCATTTTTGTATGCTGATTCTTTGCTTTGTTTTTTAGTGTAAAAAGTCTTTGTGTGACATTTATCGTTTATGATTAACTTGTTTTACTGTAGAGTTATTGGTGATTACATCGGGAAACTTCTTGTACAAAGAAAGGCTGGAGGAGTAAAATTAAAAAATATATATATCCTTGTGGTTGCTCTTTTTGCATAATTAGCCACTTAAATATCCAGTACTGTGCTAAATGACTGACCTGTCAGGATGATTGGCGGCGCTAGAGAATTATGTCATGACTAAGTGGGTTTCCAGTGTTCATTGTAAGATATAATGTCAACATTCAATTTAACTGTGCTAAAACATTGGCTGTATGACTCCTGCAGCAACAGTGAGTCGCTTTGCATCTGCAAAAGCGGCATTCATTACTTTAGCTACATACCAAGACATGCAGGATGTTTAGTTCACACTGATTGGAAGGCATCTGAAGTATGTATGCTTTAATCCTTTAAAGGAATCATTTGATTCATATTTATTATTTCCTACTGTATGTAGGAAATATTTGACTCAATATTATATGGAAGAGAACAAATTGGACTAAATAAAACAGTTTTATGTTGCTTGAAGCAGCTGTGTTTATGTCTTTCCAAATACAATTTGAAATGTTCAGCAAAGACTTCATGAAGGTAGGATTTATTGCATTGCAAGACTTGCATTAGACTGCATTGGCTTTTGTGGTTTATTTAAATAGTAGATTCTACAGGTAATTAGAAGTTTTTGAAGACAGTGGAAATTAATGTTATTGTTATGA